CCATCTTCCTTCCACTACACTGGCCAGTTTCGTTATACGGACATCGGAGTGGCCAGAGTGTGAGCCAAATCCGCCAAGCTTCACTCTATGCTAGTTAATCCTCCGGTTTCCGGTAAGACCAATTCACGAATTCGGTCGCCGCTGTTGCCGGATTCGACGCTGCGTGCAATTAAATCTACCAAGTTATTGAAGTTGTTTGACCTTGTTTTCGCAACTCGGTCATATTGGTAGGAAGACTTAGATGAACGCACCTAGTCCGGAGTCCATTGTATGCATCATTATTTCCAGAGTCGGACCGTGGACGTGGTACATTCCCAGACGATTCGCCGACACCATAGTCGGCATCGTCAGTGAGTCTCGCCATTTGTAGCACCATATTACAACTTGTACTGTGCGATCCCATAGCTAAACTTCGTGTTAGTTCGTACAGTTTGCGATACATGGTAGAACATGAACAGTGCATCGCTAGGTTTGTCAGTATCATTATTAATCATTTACTCAACTTCGTACTCATTAAAGTATCCACGTGTTGGTCTAGTGTGGATTGCAGAGCCTGTATGACATCGTCTACGAGAATGTTAGTGTACATAGACTCAACATCAAAACTTGCCGGCGAATCCCCACTTTCTATCTCCTGCTCATCTACTAAGTTAACGAATACATAAGAATTCTTAACTGAAATCTTCTCGGAGATTTGTTTTAACTCGTTACAAATTAATCTTGATGTTTTATGCATCACGCTTGCCTTATTGTTCACAATAATTATAAGTGGTACTTAATCTTCCACTTTCCAGTGCTCCGCTTGTCGTGCAATGCTGCAGTTAACCCCTGCGTCTAGACTTAAGGCTTTATGTAGAGGCCCATACTGATTTCCTTGTATGTGGTAGTGTCACCCAAAGCCTACCTCATTTTTCTTACATAAATTAACATACTCATAACTACCACTGCTCCCTTAGTACCATTTTGTCCTCGTTATTAAGTTTTCTTATGTTTTTCACTCTTCTATTCGTCTATTCACTAAATTACTACGAATGGCGGACAGGTTGTATGATATTTTTTTTAACAGGTTAGGTACAGACATGATACGAAGCTTAGGAAGTTGGATATAAGAATCAGGACAAAGACTAATTAAAATACATCAATGAGAGACGTTAGGGAACAAAGAATAATTGGTGAGAAAATGGTAAACCTCTCATAAACAGAATTGGACGTTACCACTGAGGAAGCGCTCTCGAAAAGTTTGAACTTTGCTTTGCCAAACACTAAAGAAAAAGGAAGGAGTTACTCGTGAAATTCATAATTTTACCGACCTTCTTCCAGAAGAGACCAAAAGTGATTGAATTACGAGTCGTTCCTTTAATTAATAGCCATAAAGAAATAACCGCCAAGAATAAGAGTGAAAAGCATCAGATGAAAACTAAATAATGAAGATATGAAGACCAAGATGGTGTGGCCTTTTGTGTGGTCGCAGTCTCCTTTCGTTGTATAGAAGTT